GGCTACACCATACTTCTTGCGCACGACATCGTTACAAATGCGGTCCGCTCGCGTGACGCCCGCCGTCCAGCGCAGCATCTTCATTTCCATCACACCAAGGCGAGCCTCAACTTCTTTGGTCGCGGGCCAGCACTCGGCACCATATAACGCGACAGGTCGGACGACAGTACGATAGATTTTTGACTTGAGGCGCTCTGGCATTCTCTTGTCGCAAAGGATCCCAGACATGGATCGCCACTTAGACCATGCCGCACTCACTCGTGCGCTCACTTCGATTCAGACTGCCATCGGACGCAAGTGCTGATCCGAGATACTTGAATGTTTCCGTGCGCTTGAGCACCGTGTCATCGATTTTAATGGAGCCCTGCTCATTTGGGTCGGTAGGTCAGGTACTCGGTCTTGTTGACGTTTCAACCTGAGTCCAAACCTCGCCAGACGCTCGGCCCAAGCTTGCACCTGCTGTTCCAGTGCGCTCTTATCTTCACAAGCAAGCATCACGTCATCAGCGTAAAGCAGGGTCCAAGGCACTTCCTTCTGAAGATCTTGTGGAATGCCCCATGATGGCCAACGAATAAGTAATCTATGCCGAGAGCGCAGAGCCTTGCATGCTACCCCGACGTGTATGCGGCCGAAAACTCCCATTTGAACAACACCCCTGGTGCACGAACTTGGCTCCCTTGGCAGAGTAAAGAATGCGCCCACGCCTGAAGCACTCGATTAGCTCTTCGCCCGTCTTTGCAGCGCCCACGTGCCCGTTTAAATCGCCGGCTACAATGATACCGTCTTTTGGTGGCACTTCAGCCGTCTTCTCGTCCAGCAGAGCCCATCGTTCTTGGACTGCTCAGAGCATCCAGTTTGTGGGGCATATGCGGAGAAGAAGTGGTACAGTCGTTGTTCAATAGCGACAACAATCTTCATCAAACGGTCGTCGAAACGAACTACGCTCATGAATCGAATCGCGGAATCGCTGAGACACGATCACGGCCACACCACTTGTAGTTTTCGGCCCGCCACAAAGAACGGCTTTGAAGCCGCGGCCTAACTCTTTCGACTTGCAACCAGCCCATCTCGTCTCTTGCACGGCACAGAGGTCGATCTTTCTACGCTCTAGGGCTTCTGCTAACTCGTACGAGCGTCCAGTCAGCGTCCCCACATTCAGCGTCGCAATACGAGCCTTTGACACACTGCACGTCTTTTGGACTAGCCTGGTTGCCCCCCGATGCCGTCCTTGCATCGAGGACCCTCGCATATTTTTCACACTCGTCGGGCCTTGCGAGTGCGCGTCGGCTCCCGCGGACGCCGTAGCATTATCTCGAATTTCATAAGGCATAGTTAAACATGATGATGTGACATGGGGTGTTCGTAAGCCGGCCCGTCACGAAGGCCTGTCGCCTGCTTTCGTGTTCGTCCGCGTTCTGCTCAGCCCGCAAAAGCGAGCAGGTCCCGGTGGCACCACTTGGAGGAACGGACGTCACCACCGTAGTGCAAAAGCTCGAGAGGCACTAAAAGGAAACTTCTTTACCGAGAGTTTTCCGTCCGTGTTTTTGTTGTTTTCCTTACTCTTTTCTTTGGATTACATCCTTTACGGAGATGCGAAAAAGCGATTTGTGAGCCAGGAGTTGCATAGACACCGCAGGGTGGTGTGACTGTCAAAGGGCAATTTTGTTCATGGTGTTCTTGAGGACTCTTCTTGCTTTTTTCTTCTTGGGGAATTACTTATCAGCTACTGTTTCATAATTGAACAGCGACTATCCATGACACTTCTGCACGGGAACTGTTTCTAAGTTCGAGTTGTCGCTGACCCGTGCCACACCCAGCCCCTCTAACACGGTCTGGCAACTGCACCGAACAAGACTGCAAATTAAAACGATTATTTTCGACAAAGGTGACTCAAAGAATGATTGTATCCTATGATAGTCAGCGAAGAGACTCATGCATGCAGGTTCGGAATCTCATCATTCACTTGAAGTCTGAGAAAGTATATTTGGATGCTAAGTTAAAATTTGACAACCCTGCCGAAATGTTCGAACATTATCAGAAGAACAGCTTCACCATTAATAATAAAGTTAGTTTCCTACCGTTCTCATGTTCGCCACTCTCCCTAAGAAAAACCGCTCTCGCTTTGTTGTTTGAAGGAAATCTTCTTGACTCGTGGAGTTGGACTAACCGACTGGGAGTTTGAGCACAAAAACGTCCGAGTTGGACGCGTCATTGGTCGTGGACAGTTTGGCGAAGTGAGGAGAGGGAAGCTTACGCTGAAATCTGGTGCGGTTGTCTCCGTGGCCATAAAATCGGTTCGTTTATTGCAAGAGCAAAGTAGTTCACATTGCGTTCCAACCTATACCGAATACGGCACATGGTCAAATTTTGTCAGAAGTAGAACCTATAAAGACGTAGAAAACCAAAAGTGACATGTGCAGGGCGGTTGAACGATCATTGAAAGCGAAATGTATGAAGCAAGCTGACGGCAGTAGGAAGGTAAGTGGGACGTCGTGAGAAAAAAAAGCGAGAAGAGTCATTGAAGACGTCAAACATAAGACGTTTCATAGATATCGAGTATTTGCGAATTTTATTAACTGTCGTTATGCAATGAAAGCGCCAACAGCTACCTGTAGATATTCATGACTCTGAAGTTATAATCATTAGAGGAGCATTAACTCGCCCAACTCTTTAGATCGCGTCATCATCGCGTCATCATAAATCCTGCTCGCGTCATTAGAGTGCCCTTGAGGGCTTAGGAAAGGTGCCGTCGATTGCCGCGTGTTGTTATCGCTGAAGCAGTCTAATCCTTCCAGCGATGTGCGAATTTTGGCGCAACTTCTTATTGCACTTCGGAAGCCGCAACTACCGATGGAGGGCGGGCTGGTTGCGCCGCAAAAACCACATTCAGCTAACACGTCCCGTGATAACGGCTGCATATCCTTGCTGTTGACTGAAACTTGGATTGCGTTGTTGATATGATGTAGTTGTGCAACGTCTTTGCTTCACGCACCAATAGTGTCAAAGTTCAATTAATATGTTGCGCACTCTGCCCTGAGCTGCTCGAAGCTAGCTGCTCCGACTATTGTCGTGAATTTCCAGACTGCAGCCAAAACGAACTGTGCAGAACTTCAACTTGTTGGATTTTTGATTATGGCTTGAACCGATGTCCGGTGTATGCAATTGCGTGGTCGCACTGTTCATCGGGTATGATAAAAAAACAGGAGGGGCAGCGTAACGGCGACTGGCTGGCGGAGCAGGAGATGATTAGTCGATTGAAGTCCCTTTCATAGCACTACGGCGAGGACTGTTGGTTCCTTTCCGACCATCTTCAAGTCTTTTGAGGTCTAGACGGTGAGGCTACGTGCGATGACGAAAAATAACGGAATTGCTCAGATTAACGGAGCACTAAGAAGGATGTGTAGGTGATAGTGAACACCTATATAACAAGAGCTATATGTTCCGAATCAACGTCAACAACAGCAGTAGGAACTCGAGTTATCCCCGCACTAAACTCAAACTCAACAGAAATTAGTCAACCTACACACTAGAGCTAGGACCTGCTTCTCTTCCTCGCTCTTTGGAAACATTTCGAAGCCCTCTATTATGAGGAGAGTCACACACACACAGTTAATTGTGAATGAGAGCACTTCAAAAACGGTGAGAACTTTCAGTCAATCGTGCACCGAGCCTTCTATCTTACTGGTAAAGAAAAAGTTTGTGATCACAAAGGTCAACAAATGTTTTCAATGTTTTCGTGAGACGGCCATTGGCTTTCTTTGCCAAGATCCATTTTAGAGTGCAGACAGAAACACATTCATTCAACGGTTACTTCCACAATCATGTAACGCAACACTAAACCAATTTGCCAGAGGGCGAAATTGAGAAAAGACTGTATTCAGGTTAAAACAGATGGCGACATATCTAAAGAGTTAATAAAAGAAGTGATGAAAGAGGCTCGACTAATGCGCGGTCTCCAGCATCCAAATGTTGTGAATCTTTACGGTGTTGGGTTACTCGACCAGCCCCTATACATACTACTGGAATATGTTGCTGGTATGCTGAAAAAGTCTGTAGCGCTTGTCTGAAATACACGACATAGCTCACTTTTAGGTGGCGCTTTGAAGTCATATCTGAGAAAGAACAAAGACACAATAACAATTGCTGAGAAGATACAGATGTCATTGGGAGCTGCATGGGGTATCGACTACCTGCATAGGTCAAGCATACTTCACCGAGATATTGCCGCACGCAACTGCCTTTACGACCACGACTCAGCGGTCAGTTACAATGCAAAACTGATCATTGATTGCTTCCAGTAATCTTGTCGGATAGCAATGAATTCAGGTCAAGATATCAGATTTCGGCTTATCCCGAATCGGTACGGAGTATAAAATGAAAACAGCGAAGAAAATGCCGATTAAGTGGATGGCGCCGGAGAGCATAGTTAGCTTCATGTTTTCCAAGAAATCCGATGTCTACTCTTATGGGGTACGTTGCCTCTGCTACCTCTAGGTTGGCGGGGAAGTTCTGTCACACTTTGAACTCAAAATACTTGCCCATTTACCTGAAGAGGGGTAACCGGTAATGTGAGCACTTATACATCAAGGAGTGGTCTTTCTATTAGTACCACTCGCTTGACTCCTGCTTCTTCTTCTTCTGCAATATGGACAAGGATTTTATCCGCTACCATCGGCACTGACCCCTCCAAGCGCTTCCTCAAACTCTTTCTTCCACCACCCTGACGCCAGCATGATAGCTGCAGATGCCAAAATAATGGAGCTGAATAAGGACGATGCCCTCAATTATCGGACAACCTTCCACGACGCTAATGCTTCAAAGCGGGAGCCTACAGTTTTGATGACGAAGTGAGGTTTGGGTTACCTGTGAACTCAGATTGAGGGAGCTGCGGGTCGTGAAAGTGCTGGATGAAGAAGCTGCTTCCTCGGTCAATGCGTACGCAAAGCAGCTACGAGATCTAAAGCGTACCGTCGATCAGAGGGAAAAATTTGTCCGCACAGCCCGCCCTCATCATGATAGTGCAGCGCACTCCGTCCAAAAAAGCGAGCCGTACCTCATGCAATAGAGCTGGATGGCTCGGTGTAGCACAAACATTGCTACTTCTAACTGCGAGTTGCCTCCCGTACTCAATCGTTATGTGGACGAGAAAACCTCCATAACCCGAGTTCAAGTCAAGATTGAGATGATGTCCAACTTTGCGTCGCGCCTCCCTGCATTTTGAAGCGATGGCATCCATGAGGTGCTCAAAAACTGGCAAGAACCCCGTAACATTGCTGTACAATTCCCTACACGCCTCTCCATAAAAAGAAAGCCCAATCTGAAAAATGTAGCAAAACTTTCCCGCCAACCTAATATTTTCCAATAATTTCTGATAGTGAAATCACTCTGACACCAGAGAACTGGCTCGGTCTGAACGCAGCCTTACTTGATGTTGCTCGTTTCGAAGGTTTTTCTTCCACTTCCCCCAGTTTAGGTACTGGTCTACGAAATTTGGTCTTCGAAGGATCCTTACGGCGACGCAATAGCATCTGTAGCGAGGAAAAAAGTAAGCGATCCGCCTATGATTTACAACAGTCCATTTTCTGGGGATATTTAATACCAGCTCAAAATAAAAGTACATGCTTTCTCCATCTTCTCACGCAGTATGGTCAAGCATTTTGACTGCGCCGGGTTGTCTTCATCTTGGATAGAGAAGTCATCCTTCTTGAACTTACTGGAGTTGATGCTTACTCTTTTGAGAAGGTTTTCCTTGCAAAAGTGCGAACATAATAGGATTTCACGGTTGGGTCAAGATAGGAGCAGGAGTAGTGTTACATGGAAAAGTTCCTTTCAAAGTTTCCTTTCGGCAGTCCATTGCTGCTTGATTCCCCCAGTCAATATGCAAATGGGCTAAAAATCCGAGACCAAGACCTCAGCAGCAAATGTGTCATTACTTTCTTCACCGCCTAAAAACCTAATACCTCCTGATCAGTGTGCTGGAAGACAGCTATTTCCAGATCATCAGCGGAGAACTCAACGAATTTCCTAGCGGCACGCCAGAAGATTTGGTCGCATACGTCAAGGAGAAGTTGTGGAACAAAAATCCAGAACAAAGAGAAGACATGGACAAGGTCTGCGTGACTTATATCACCGTTGCCCTATTCGGGATCTCCTTCGTTCCGCATACCTTGAGAAATTTCTCAATGATCAGTCGTACCCTCACGTCAAAAGTTGGTATTCCTTGCCTTCGATGATGTGATCCGCAGTTGCGGAAGGTAGTGATATCTGCGTGCCGTTTAGAACCATGCCCTCGTTGCTGCACAGTCGCGGCATTCCTAACCATAACCAAACTCTACTTGCCTGCGACCTCATTTTCGATTGGGTGTTCGCCTTGGGATCTCGTTGTAGACAAGCGTTCCACTCAGAGTAGACCGCGGGTGAAGTCCAGGAACGGCGCAGAGGTATCACTACATTTCCGCCCTCAAACGGCGAAAGTGTTACTCTTGTGCAACTGCCCAAGCGTTCTTCTCGCAACGTTGGGCAGTACTCGGATGTCGCTGTAGGTTTGCCATTGGGCCTCGTATTTTCTGGGTCTGTATTTGTTGACCGTACTAGCTCTGCCGATTTCCTTATCGTAAACTGGATACTGTGAATTTATAACAGATTGGGCTAGTCACTAAGCGTTTCATGTATCCTAGCTCAGCGCAGTGTATGAAACACTGGACCTTAATGAAACGGAGTAACTTTTGAAACATCACATCCAACGGCTGTTATCGGAGCCTTGAAACTTTGAATCAAAAATTAATTGTCATTGACTTGGACCGACTTCAGGGCTACCACCTGCCACCGCTTGCTTTGCGAGGACAGCTCACCTTAGATGTTGCCATAATGCCTAGTCGACGAACATAAAGTGCTGCTTCGACTGCCCTGAGATTTCCCTCTGAACTCGAGGTATCTTCACGGAAACCAAGGGCAACTTTCATCGAGTCATCATATAGACACTATAGACAGCCCGAAGTGTTGCATGCAACATCGCAGTTTTTGGTCGGTTTCATAGTTTTCACGAGTTTTTCATTCAAGATCTGATAGTTCAGGTGAGCTCGTGGTTTGAACAGTACGCTGGGTTGAACGCTGTATCCCTCATAGAAGAGACAACTGGGCAGGAGAAATCAGTGATTCAGGAGAAACCAGTGAGCATTCAGCACTGAATCTGCAAAATGTGAAAATGACCCCCCCCCCTACAAAGTTTGAGCGAACGAACATTTCCACGACTCATAGCACTTGCAAAGGAGTCTACTGTATCTAATGAGCCAAGCATGTCTGGGTGTATCTAATGAGCCAAGCATGTCTGGGTGTCTGTTCCAAAACTCAATGCTCCCGTCCGAGCAGCGGCACATTGATTTCAAGAAGTGACATAGGGCTGTTATGGGACCATTATCGGTGGGTATTAGAAAGCGATATCAGCCATAATATCGGGTAATGGATGAAACGTTGTCGCCCGGCAAGACTCCCAACAAACAGAAGCATTTCCAAAGAATCTGCAGAGGACCTATTGAAAGTGAAACCATTAACTTGCCTATGTATTCAACTCTTTAGTCAAGAGTCGGTTTTAATTCAGCTTCGCACCTCGAATGAGATGTTTCAGAAGGTGTCGACTCCACCAAAAGCAAAGAAGGTTGCTGTTCAAAAAACAGCGGCTGATAGGCGTAAGCACCAAGTGTTCAAAAAATTGCGGAGGCAAAACAAAAGTTATCAACCTCCGAAAAAGGCAGAATCCACCCATTCACAAGAACAAAGTGAAGCGGCATAGGTCAGTCTGAAAGAAGAAGTCAAGGTTGTTTTTACTTCGATGCTTTTGTTTCGATTCGTCTTATATCTCGCTCTCACGCGTGCCGTCTCTGAAAATGGCCCATCAGTAGGGTACGTTCTTGAAACGTGAAACGCGAACACTGTGGTTTTTGCCTCTCCCGATAATACAAGAGCGTGAACTACAGGTGGAACACACCGCTGCTTATGTTTATGTGTAGTATGTTGCAAAGGGCGAGCGGCAAACGTTTTCCCGAAGCCACTTTTGGCCAAATGGTAAAGGAAATTTTGAGTGAGGGATGTCTTACCAAAGTACATCAATGAAGTCATTCTTTTGGTCGCAGTGCAGATTAGCAGACGCAGAAATACTTCACTCACTGTATTTGATTCTTCAGACAATAAAACTCAACATACAGGGGGCCAATAAAAAAGTCACTTTTCTTCCTTGACTTTCGAGGCGCTATAAGTTACACTTTATTAAATTCTGATCGGACATTTCTACCACCATATTAAGAGCATATTAAATACTATCATGACACTCCGCCACAGCCTTCTGGACGAGCGCCATCGAGAGATTCTGGCACGGTGCCTGAGATCAGCGAGATAGTCGATTTCTCCGCCACCGTAGACCACCCTATTGAACTCCGCCCGAACCGGGTAATTGAGGGTTCAGGTCAGGTGACCTACTTGGATATTCCTGGTCTCTGGTC